ATATATATATATATATGTGGCGGTTCTAACAATATTATTTTAAGTGAGGAATTCTTAAAAAAATAAAGAGTGAGAACCACACAATACAATTTTATTATTTTGAACAAGTTTTAGCCAATAATAAAAAGTATGGTGAAAGAGTGCGTTAACATTTCACATTCTCGTAGTTTTAGTAATGCCTAAAGAGTTATGAAGAGCTAAAAATTTATCATTAATTATCATTCACTTCGTATGTTTGGGAAAACAATCACATCTCTCTACTATATAATGAGATTTGAGAGGAGTTGGATCATCCTATCCATCCAAGACAAGAAGAGTTGAATTCATATAATCCTCTTCAAGGGCATAAAAAAGGTGTGTTGTTGGGCCTCAAGGCCTACTATATTCACAGCTGAGATCTTATCATTTGCAACCTTGAACTATTCCAATGGATTAGGATCCGGTGGGTTTTTCAATGGGCCCTGTGTCGGCCTTTTCTTTTGTTGCAACACCATTTGACTAATTGGACAAGGAATGATTTGGGTCTACCGAAGGCCCATTAAGTACAGGATTGAAACTTATTCACTACTCTCCACGTATCTTTTTTAACTAAACAATTTCATCCGCAGAGCTACCAACCAAAACACAAGTGATCTCATGTACATTGCAGATTTAATCCTTGTTCTAATTTTAATTTTAGATACCAAAAAACTAATTGTGAACAATCAAGAGATAAAAGTACCTCACTAAAAGGGAGAAAAAAAATACAGTGGGTTACATAAAATTTTAAACATGTTTCTATACCCCTCTCTGCCTGCCAAAGAGGATGAAAATAAGAACAGAGATGTAAAACCTTATCTGGAGACAAACAAAATTTTGAACGAAGAAAGAGTTGAAAATTAATAAAAAGATGACAAAAATAAGTCAAAATTGAGATCATGAGTAACTACTTGGTAATGAATGAATAGGGAAAAAAAAAATGAAAAATTGTTGGAAGAATGAGGTGGGTAATGACGATGAAACGACTATGATAATATAGATATAATAATTTATATAATGTTATTTTTTGTGTTTATTAATTAATCTATATCATAATATTTATTACATTTTTAAAGAATAAGTTTTCTATCTTCTTTTTTTTCTTCTTCATAATTTATAGTACAAATCTCATTTTAAAATGTTTTGTGCATTCATACAAGAGAAAGAATGAGACGTATAATTATGTATACCACTTCCGAACATTACGCAAAAATTCTAGTTTTCTTGTTCCAAGTCAAAGTGAGTCTAGTGCCATATTCACTTATCCTAAAGGTTCTAAATAGCTTTATACATTATCTTCAGTCAAATACTTGGTTACTACTAACTTTTTCAGTTGACCAACTCATAAAATATCTCTTTGTGACAAACAATATTTCTCTTATTAGACCCAACTTCGGATAATTCTAACCGAAAGCTTATTAACTAAAGTACCAACAGAGAAAAAAACAAAACTCAAAGCACGCTTGGAATATCCGAAAGAATTTCCCTTAATTAGTTAAATATGTACCCTAAAGAGTTCAAAAGAAAAGCTAATTTTCCTGTGCCTTATCATGAGATCTATGGCATAATTGACTACGGATTTTGCAAAATGACCCTATCAAAACCAAGCACCTTTGAACTTGTTATATACTATTTGCATATGATGTGACTGATGCTTTGTAAACATTGATTAACTTTATGCAATTGGAGCACGAAACAGGGGGTGGTCCAACAACCCTTTTGCATTCAAGATAAGGATTTCAGTTCTTACCGGACACTTTTTTTTTTTTTTTTTTTTTTCCTGGGATGGGTCCTTATCTAAATTTGTTGATAAATTATTGGTCTTTCCCACCTTTTCCTCCTCTTTTTTTTCTTATAGGTCTATGGTAAAAAGTTGATTTAATTGGTTATCACTACAAACTTAAACATTACTTGTTAAAGATATGATAAACCTTGATGTTAATCCGAAAAGGTCGACAGGAGATTTGACAAAGTCAAAGTCTTGATTTGAATTTTCTTACATATTCACATGTATAAGTTTGTCTGCATGCTTCGCCATCCTTTTCATTATTTTGTATAATATTGCCAAGAAAAATAGACAAATGAATCTAATTAAAACTCTTTAAAATACTACATAACATTGCTTTAGTTACATAAGCTAAATCGATAATTCTAGCTGCTATCACCGTGTAACATTTTAAAATACTAACTACACCAGGCATTTATGCATAAACCAAATCCTTAATATCGCTTCTATGATTTATAGAATGCTTTTGGAAGATACAATATACAAGGACATTGGTACACAAACTTTGTTTTCTTTGAAAATTTCATATTTGGATTTCAGGACATCCTATCAGTCCAGTTTGGACCTGCCCCAGAAGAATTCATTCTCTTAAAAGTTTTTGCAGAAAATAATTAGGGAAACAATGTTTCCTTTTCTTGATGTTATTTTTTGTTAGCTGCAACGTCTTGTGTTGAGTGCAATTAATATCTCATCCCCCACATGTACATTAAAGATAAAAAGGCATCTCTCAAAACCACCCTAAGAAAAGACACTCTTAAGAAAAGGTATGAATAGTAATTCTGCTTGAAAATAAGTGAAACACCCTTTTATTGCTCCTCAATCTATTCTAGAAACAACAATTTATCTAGTTTTGTACTATAATCCAATAAAATTGTTCCACTTTGATTTAGGCTAATAGCATAAAGGACGTACACGTACTATAACATTATTATGTCGCAAACAAAAGAACTTGAGTTGTCCAATGGGATTACATCAGAGATACCCTTTTCATGAGAAAAATTGTCCTGGATGGATATGTGTTGGAACACTTGTCACTTCTTGTTTGGATCATCCAATAAAATCCTGTGACTCAAAATGCTAAATTTTTTAGTTTAGGTTTTTTTTGGGAACATTAATTGAGTGGTAACGTAGTTTTATTATGTGTAGCAATTTGGTTAACTTTCAATTTCTATTGGGCGGCATACCCACCTAACATAGACATTGGTTTAAGGTCCCAATAAGTAAAGTTTGAAGTGATGGCAAATCATTAATCAGCTTAGTTGAAAGTTGGAATTGTGGGAGCTGTAGCTGATAGACAACCATTATTGAATATCAAGTGTATTTAAATAAATTTATTTATAAATTTTTTATTCAAAAATTTATTTTTATATTTAAGCTAATTTAAATTTATATAAAAAAAACTTATTTTATTTTCATCCATGGTTATATTCTTTTAATAAGATTTCAATTTTACATGATATTATAAGAGTGGAATTATTCATGTTGAAATGCATCCAATGACCAAAAAGTTCGATGCAGTTGACAAAAAGATATCAATGTAAACTAAGAACACTCTTCGAGTTGTTACATGATAGATGTTGAATGTTACACTAATTGAAACAAACATTCATCTATTTTTATAAGAGAAGAGCTCTCCAATTTGAAACACAACCAATGTTGAACATTAAAAAAAGGACATTTTAACATTGGCTATTACCTCAATGCTATTGTATTAAGTTAATCTTAATTATTACTTCACATCTACTTAAAAAAGGGCATTTTTGTTAAACTCTCCATTGGCTATTGTATTAAGTTAATCTTAATTAAAACCTGCATCTCTAGAATAGGGAGGGGGTGGGATTCTTAGCCGTCCTTTTGCAAGTTCATGTTAGGCATAGGGCCCACCATTGATACCTACCTTTAATGATTACCTTAAAATATTACCTCAAATGCTATTGACTTTATGACTTTAACATTGTGGAACTGAAAACCAAAAATAAAGAATGGTTTCTTAGGAGGTTGGAAATGGGATTGGAACATTGAACATGACTGAAATATCTTGTAGCCCACTCAAGAGAAAGACAACATGGTCCTCTGACTCTAGCTTTGGAACCCTAAGAAGCACCTACAAACCACACATTATTGGACCTATAGCCCAGATGCAAATATTTCCACTTGGTGCCATAAAAAGAATAGGCAGATGATAAACACACCTCCACTCTCGTATAAACACACCCCTTTTTAAAAAAAAATATATAAAATGTCTAAATTACCCTTTAAAAAAATAAAATTCCTAAACTTACACCTCCCTTCCCCGCACCCCCACACCCCACACCCCCTTCCACTTGTGATTTGTGGCGGTTATTTTGGCAGTTTTTGGCGGTTAAAAACCATCATCAATTACATTACCGGCGTCGTTAATAACCGTTGGATCTACGGTCGCCAAAAACCGTTTGCGGCGTATATGTTGTAAACACTGGTTTTGAGCGCAAGAAAATTCAATCTCTTTGTGGCGG